AAAACAAATAAGCACTTAAAGTTAAATATGATTACCTACTATTCTCCCTTAAAGATACAAGTTGGAATTGCCTTAATAGAGTAGATGAGTGTAATAAATGAAAAAGACTATCAACTTTTTGGTTGGAATTCTTAGGGCCCCTGTCAACCACATTCTCATATAGACAGCTATTTCTTTGCCTCTAGTACGCTTGCTTTCACATGACTTTCCTTTATACATCACTATCTTAGCATTTATCTAGACCATAATTTGTTTAAGGAAGGAAAGGGGACCATAAGTTTATTTTAAAAGAGTAGGGACTAGCCTGTCCCATGTGGCTAGTGGTTAGCATCAACCCATGCACCAGGAGGTCACCAGTTTGATTCCTGGTCAGGGCACATGCCCAGGTTTCAGGTTCTGTCCCAGGTAGGGGGCATGCAGGAAGCAGTCGATTGATGTTTCTGTCATGGATGTTTCTATCTCTCTCTCCCTCTTTCTTCCTCTCCCTTAAATCAATAAAAACATATATATTTTTAAAAAGGGTAAGGACTATATTGTATCTGTGTCCAGCACCTAGATGATGTACAACAGATAAGCTCTATAACACTAACTCCTCTTTTGGATGTGGAGACTGACACTCAGAAACTGCAGGCATGACCCAAGTCATACACAAAATCAGAGGCAGAAAACTCAATACCAAATCTCCTGATATAGATTCTGTAGGCTCCATCCATTAAGCCTGATGACTCCCTACATTTGAAAGTAGGAACTTTCAATCACTGAGCCACCAGTGATCGCCGGTTCGATTCCCGGTCAGAGCACATGCCCAGGTTGTGGGCCAAATCCCCAGTGGAGGGTATGCAGGAGGTGGCCAATTGATGTTCTCTCTCTCATCGATGTTTCTCTCTCTCTCTCTCTCCCCCTCTCCCTTCTTCTCTCTCTAAAAATCAATAAAAGAAAAAAAAAAGAAATTGTGGTACATATATATAAAGTAATAGTATTCAGCTGAAATACTGCTGCACACATTTGCAATAGGAAATAAAGCAACAAATGAATAAATACTTACTAGAGGCATCTTCTGTCAGGGTCTCTTTATCCTCAGATTTTGATAGTCTTCTTTTGGAAACCATTTTGACCAGTTTTCTGCTGTTAAATTACTTTCTATAGCAATATTAGAGAACGGAAGTTACCTTTCAAAGCTAGAGAAATTCTGAGAAGCTATAGCTCAAAGAACACCAATGCTATCTAAATCAACCCCTATATCTAGTCAGTACTCCCTTGCTTTCAAGACTTGTTTACCTAGTTGCCTTTTTAGCCTAGTTTTCCCTTTTCTTCTTCTTTTCTTTAATCCTTACCAGAGGACATGTTTTTATTGATTTTTAGAGACAGAGGAAGGGAGAGAAAGAGCAACATCAATATGAAAGAGAAACATCAATCAGTTGCCTCTAATATGCACCCTGACTGGGGATCAAACCCACAATCTAGGTATGTGCCTGACTGTGAATTGAATCCACAACCCTTTGGTATATGAGATGATGATCCAATCAAATGAGCCACCTGGCTAGGACCAGACCACTTCTCTCTTGCCGAAGGATAAAACCCACAGTTCTCTACCTGACATTCAGTTCTTTCATCTTCTAGCTTCAAACTATACCTCTCCTTTAATAATTCAATGCTGTACATTAAAGACTGTGCCAGGTGCTGAGGTTACAGTTATGAACCAGACCTCAAGGAGTTTACAGTATAGTAACAAGTACACTTTTTTTTTTTTTTAATCCTCACCCAAGGACACTTTTGCATTCATCTTCAGATAGAGCGAGAAGGAGAGAGGGAGGAAGAGAGAGAAACATCAATGTGAAAGGGACACATCGAGTGGCTGCCACCCACAAGACCCAACCAGGGCCAGGGACAACTGAAACCAAGGTACATGCCCTTAGCGGGAACCGAACCCGGGTCTTTCTGGACTGCGGGCCAATGCTCTAATGGCTTAGCCAAACCAACCAGGGCAGTAATGAGTACTCTTTCTTTTTTGTTGGTGAAGACATTTTTTTTGCATTTATATTGAAATAGAGCAGGAGGGAGAAAAGGAGGAAGAGAGACATCGATGTGAGAGAGACACATCGATTAGTTGCCATCTACACGATCCCAACCGGGGCCGGGGACAAACTGCAATCGAGGTACATGCCCTTAGCGGGAACTGAACCCAGACCTCTGGTCCGCAGGCCAATGCTCTAACCGCTGAGTCAAACCGGCCAGGGCATAGTACTATTTTTTTTATCCTCACCCAAGGACATTTTTCCATTTTTTGTTCAGATAGAGTGGGAGGAAGAGAGAGAGAAACATCGATGTGAAAGGGACACATTGAGTGGTTGCCACCCGCACGACCCAACCAGGGCTGGGGACAAACTGCAACCAAGGTACGTGCCCTTAGCGGGAACCAAACCTGGGTCTCTCTGGACTGCAGGTTGACACTCTAACCACTGAGCCAACCCGGCCAGGGCATGAGTACTCCTGATGTAGTTATTTAACTATAATCATGCCCTGCATAAGTATGTTTCAGATGATGGACCATATATACCACAGTGGTCCCATAAGATTATAATGGAGCTGAAAAATTCCTACTACCTGATGACATAAAAGCTGTTATAATGTCATAGTGCAACACATTTGCATATTTGTAGTGATGCTAGTATAAACAAACCTACTGTGCTGCCAGTCATATAAAAGTATAGTGCATACAATTATGTACAGTACACAATACTTGATAATAATAAGTGACTATGTTATTGGTTTATTAAAAAAAGTTCTTTTTTTCTTTGTTGATTTTTATTTTTAGAGAGAGAGGAAGGGAGAGGGAAAGAGAGCTAGAAACACCAATGAGAGAGAACATCGATTGGCCACCTCCAGCATGCTCCCCACTGGGGATTTGGCCCACAACCCGGGAATTGAACCAGCAACCTCTTGATGCACGGATCAACGCTCAACCACTGAACCACACTGGCCAGGCTATGTTATTGGTTTATGTATTTACTATACTATATTTTTTATCATCACTTAGAGTGTACTATTTCTACTTACTAAAAAAAAAAGGTATGCTATAAAACTGGTGTGCACACAGCAGCAGCCTCACACATCTGGTGTTTTCTGCTTGACTACATCGTTATCTCTTGCATTTGATTTAATCTTGTGTTGTATTGCACAGTAACATGCTATACAGGCTTGTAGCCTAGAAGCAAGAAGCTGTACCTATAGCATACAGCCTAGGTGTGCGGTAGGCTAAACCACCTAGGTGTGTGTAAGTATACTCTATGATGTTCACACAATGATGAAACTGCCTATGGAAGCAATTCTTAGGATGTATCCCCATGATTAACTGACACATGTTGTGTGCTATAAAAGAAAAGCACAGGCTGCCATGAGGGTTTACAAGGAAATTTAGTCTAGTTAGGGTGGCAGTGATAAGAAAAGTAGCAACAATTTCTCAGGTATAATCTCTTTGAGGAAGTGATTTTAAGCAGGAACCTGAAGATTGAAATAGGAGTTAGTAGAAGATATCTGAGAAGAGTAATCTAGGCAGAGAAACACTCAACCCTGACACAGGAAGGAGCTTGTAAAATTAGAAATGAGACTACAGAGGTAGAGGAGGACCTGAACGACGGCCTTCTAGCCTATCTTGTAAACTAGAAAAGTGTTCTTTTCTCACCCTAAATGCTCTTATCTGCCTGGAAACCACTACTCATCCTTAAAGACTCAATTAAATGTCACCGTCCTTGAAAAATGTCCCTCTTATCCTGGCCACTTGGATCAGTTGGTTGGACCATCCTCTCACTGAGGGTTTGATTCCCAATAAGGGAATATATCTAGGTTTCGCGTTCAATCTCCAGTAGAGGTGCATAAGGGAGGCAAACTGATCAATGTTTTTTTTTCTCTCTCTCTCTCTAAACATCAATAAAAACATATCCTGTGGTGAAGATTAAAAAAAAAGAAAAATGCTCCTCCTATCCCCAAGGAAGTTTGCTACTCCAGCTTCCCTGCTCCACAAAGCATATTGTGGAGCCCTTAACACATCACACTAGACTGTGGGGTTCCTTGAAAGCTGGAACCCAGTCTTATTTATCTCAGCATCCCTCGTGCCCAGCCACAGTATCAGGTTGTTGTTTTTTTTTAATTGCTAAATGAGAATGGCTTACAGGCAAGTAAATAATAGTAGCTAACGAGAACTATTTTACTTCAGTTATTCTTCACAAAACTGTTTGCAGTAGGTGCCATGATCATTCTCATAATCAGTGGCAAAGCTGGGACTCTAACTCAGGCAGTCTGGGTCCAGAATCTGCCCTCTTAAACTACCAACTATACTTATTCTTTATTATAATAATGGTTACCAGTAAGAGTTGACATTTACTATACACCAGGCACCCTGCTAAGCGTTTTCTCCATCTGTTACCTCGTTTAACAATTATAATAACCATTATCAGCCATTTTGCAGGTGGAGAAAGTAAGGCCGGTCAGGGCCCGCTGACTTCAGGGCAAGCCCTTAACCGAACTCTACCTTCTGGTTTGCAGCAAAGCCTAAAAGACGGGAAGATGGGGCCGGCTGCCGGGCCTAGGCCACCCGGATAGGGGTTGGGGGTAAAAACCCTTCTCATTTGTCATTTTAACGACGCAGGGAGGTACCTGAGGGTCTATCCCACGATAGGACAGATGAGGAAGCCGAGGTTTAGGGCGCAGGACCCCGGAGAAAAAGGCCGAGCTCGGCCCGGGCCTACAGGCTAGCACGCAAGTGAGCGAGGCCTCGAGAGACTACAACAGCACCTCCACTTATTCTCCGACCAGCTGTCACCACCCTTCGTTTTCGACTTTCCCGCCCGGCGCGACGCTACTTTAACGACGCAGGGGCGCACAGCGCCGTGACTTCAAATTTCCGCGCCGGAAGTGGGCGGCCGGGCGGCCGGCGCGGGGAGGGGACAGTGCGCCGGGGCTGATCCTGCGGTAGGGTCCCGGGCCAACCAGGCTGAGGGCGTGAGAAAGCTGGGACGCGATCTCGAGTGGGAGCCCCGGAACTCGGGGGAAGAGAAACCCAGCTACACCTGGTCGGGAGCCGGCGCTTTGTGAAGATGGCGGGGCCGGAGCTGCTGCTCGACTCCAACATCCGCCTCTGGGTGGTCCTGCCCATCGTTATCATCACCTTCTTCGTGGGCATGATCCGCCACTACGTGTCCATCCTGCTGCAGAGCGACAAGAAGCTCACCCAGGAACAAGTCTCCGACAGGTCAGCGCCCTCCGGGATCCGGCGACCTCACTCCCCTGTGACCTTGAGCAAGAAAGTGCAGGGGTTCTGCCAGTTTACCCCGATTCAAGATCGCGCCCCTTCTGGCTGGGTGACCTGAGCTATCTCTGTGTTTCACTTTCGTCATTTGTCAAATGTGGATGATAGCAGGATATGCCTCATAAAGCAGGGATGGGGATTAAATTTTAGATGATGTCTATAAAGCCTTTAGCTAGGACGAAGTAAGTGCTCAAAAAGATGTTGCTGTTAATTTTGTTAGCCTAGAAGTCAACCCTCGGTGGGCTTATCTATGAACTATAGATAAGATGGGAGTGATTATACTCATTTTACCAAACTACAGTGGTGATCAGCTGAAATACCAACTAATCAAGTGCTTGGCAAACAAAACTGCAATAGAGATGTGAGGGGTTATAATTATAATTTCCCCTACTGGAATGGAGGCAAATTCTTTCTTGTGTGCTTCATTACAATACTTATCTGTGGAGAGAGGTAATTTGAGACGATTTTAGGTGATATCAAATGTGTGCTCCCGCCCTGGCCGATTTGGCTCAGCAGTTAGAGCATCGACCGGAGGTCCAGAGAGACCCAGGTTTGGTTGCAGTTTGTCCCCGGCCCTGGTTGGCCATGCGGGTGGCAGCCACTCGATGTGTCCCTTTCATGTTGATGTTTCTCTCTCTCTCTCCCTGACTCTATCTGAACAAAAAAATGGAAAAAAATGTCCTTGGGTGAGGATTAAAAAAAAAAAAGTGTGTTCCCTCCATATTAAAATAAAAAACATTTTAAGTCAGCGTTCTGATTATTTTCAGAGATGCTCTCAGGTAAATATTATGTCTTTAACACTTCCTTAGCACTTATTAATCTCCTTTTTAAACAAAGAGGAAGCCTAGGCTCAGAACTTTCCACAGGCAACAGTATCTAGCTAAAATTTAATAATTTTGTTTTGTTTTTATTGTATTTATTTTAACAATTACTTTCTATTTGTGGCAATACTGGTTTTACATTTGCTGGTAGTTTAAAAATTTCTTTTAAAACATATAAGTAGAAAAGTTGACATATAAAAAATACTAAGTTTTTATTTGTTTATTTATTTAGTATGTTTTTATTGATTTCAGAGAGACAGAAAGGGAGAGGGAGGAAGAGAGAGAGAAATATTGATTGGCTGCCTCCTTCCTGCACACCCCCACTGGGGATCTAACCCACAACCAGGGTATGTGCTCTGACTGGTTGGTGCATGGGATGACACTCAACCAACTGAGCCACACCAGCCAGGGCAAAAAATACTGAGTTTTTAATAGTACAAGTGCTAGGTGAATAAAATAAAATAAATAACCATAAACTGAGAATACTGAAGTTTGGGAAGGACTGTTGTCATTTTCAGTTGTGCTTCCCAATTATGCTGAAAATAATAATAATAAACCAACATGTATTAAGCACTTATTCTATGCCAGGCACTATACTAAGCACTTGTATTCATTAACTTGTTTAAAATTCAAAGCAACTGTGAGGTAGATGCAGTCCCATTTTATAGAAACTAAAGGTTAAGAGGTTCCATGGTCACACATGGTGACATTCAAGACTTAACATCAAATCTTCTGGTTCCCAAGTCTGAAGCTCTTTCCACTATACCACAGAAGCCACTCAGTTACTTTTCTGTGGCATCAGTTTCAGAACTGATCAGGACAACCTCCTGTAGATGACCTTAAGGAGTCCGCTCACCACAGAAAAGAAGGCTATAAAAAGATGTAAAGTGGAGAGATCTCAGACAGTCAGCATTTATTTATGTATTGACACCAATAAATTGTTCTCATTTTACCCTCAAATTAACACTGAGATAGATAATCCTGAACCCATTTTTACATTTGAAGAAAAGGGAGCCTGGGAAAGTTAAGTAGCCTTCCCAAAATAACCAAATAGTAAAATATTGTGCCTACACTTGAACCCAGGTCAGTCTTACTCCCAAGTTAAATTCTCTTGACTACAATTCCTGCTGTCATAGATTCTCTGCCACAATTTTTGCTCCTGTTTCACTATGTGATTTCAGAGTGATAGTTCTGAATATCAGACCCAAAGGTCTCTTTTATAACCCAAAATGAAATTCACAGTTGGTGTGCTCTCCACAGGAACATTAAAAAAAAAAAAAAAAAAAAAAAAGGCATCATGATGCTTTAGTGTAACAATTGGGAGAAATAAAAGGAAAATAATTTAATTTTTTTTTCATAAGTGCATGTGCACAACGGTCCTAGAAGGTGTGATGGAGAAGTCAGATGCAATCACCTAGCTATAAAATTCCTATAAATTGGAACAGATTCAACTGTAGGCTGATACAGCATGTTAGCTACTTAGATATAACAGAAGGCAATGTTTGGATGTGATTTTCCTAAGTGGTGAACTACTCGATAAAGTTCTGAACAAAACAGAGTACAATTTTCCTTGAATTTACTTGCTGGTTGCATATCTGAAAACTTAGTATATATAAAAATCATCTCTCCCAACCACTGCAAAAAATGGAATTAGGTTTGAGGCTTAGATAATTGAAACCAATTTGGTGAGATATCAAAAGTAGTGTGAGACATGGGACTGTTCTTTTTTTTTTTGCACATCTGGCCCCAGCACTGAGGGATACTTAGTTGTGTGCTCTCCATCCCATAATTTTGACACTGAAAAAAAGTTCCACAGATTTCCATAAGGCCCTCTAGAGGGCAGTGCCACCTACATGAAGAACCACTGCTTTAAAGAAAACTCAACATTTTTCTGGTCATAATTGCTCCATCCCTTAAGTGAGGTGGTTGGATCATGCCTCTCTGACATGGTGTGACTGTACCCCACCAGGTCATCATTTGAACTTGAATAGAATGCTGACCATGTGATTCTGAACTGGTCAAAGTCCAAGACAAAAGATGTTTTTTAGTTGTAAAACATTCCTCAAATACAGTATAAGTTTCCAGTAACCTGAATGATCAGAAAATGGGACATAGGGTGTCATAAATTATTAAGCTTTTACTGCCTCAAAACTTACTAAAATTTTTCTACAATGTATTAAACCAAACCTGAAAAATACATAAATAAAATGTATTAGACCATATTTAGGGATAGAATGTATGTAAAAAAGTAGTTCTCAAGCTTGAAGAATATACAGACTCTTTGGAAAGAAAAAAAAACCTAATCTTTAAGAATATGGAACTTCAGTTTGAGAAATGCTAACTTTAAAAACTAAAGTTTTATTTTAAGAATGTCTTTCAGTTGCAAATTACAACTATAAAGAAAACTTTATATCCAGTACAAGGAATTGTTTTTAGATATTAATGGAAATGAAAATGCAAAATTAAAAATTTCTCAGATACCCTGGCCGGTTTGGCTCTGTGGTTAGAGCATTGACCCATGGACCAAAGAGTTGTGGGTTTGATTCTGGTCAAGGGCATGTACCTCAGTTGCGGTTCAATCCCTGACCCTGGCCCTGGTTGGGGTTGTATGGGAGGCTGCCAGTTGATGTGTCTCTCTCACATTGATGTTTCTCTCTCTCTCTCTCTCTTCTTCCCTTCCTCCATCCTCCCTCCCTTCCTCACTCTCTCCTCTCCCTTCCTCCCTCTCTCCCTCATACTCTATCTGAAAATCAATGGAAATATATCCTCAGGTGAGGATTTAAAAAAAAATTTTTTTTTAAATTTACTTGTAGAATTTTCAGATCTCAGAGAATACATCTGTGGATCTCAGTTTAAGAAACTAAGTGTTTATAATATACAGGATAATTTAAGCTTGCCTTGAATCAGGGTTGAAAAGCCTCAAGATCACAAATCTCAACCCCAATTCTACAAAGTTGCTTGGCAGCATATAGGAGATCTAGCTGAATTACCATTGATCACAGTGCCTGTAGAAGTCCTGGGTTATCTACAGTGAACACATTTTTATTGATGACCTACCATGTGCCAAACACTGCGCTTTATGCTATGGGGTACAAAAAAAAGACAAAGTCAAGACTCCACTCTCAGAAGTGTCAGTCCAAGTGATAAAACATGCAAAGAGAAAACAATACCATTAATCTCATGCTTAGGATGTGCCAAATAAAGTAGTAACCACTTTAAATGAGATAATATGTATGAAAAACTCAGCTTAAAATCTTTAGTATTTCCCTTTTGCTCTTTTTAAAAATTGTGGTAAAATATATATAGCAAAAAATTTACCATTAACTGTTTTTTTTTGTTTTGTTTTGTTTTGTTTTATCCTCACCCGAGGACATTTTTCCATTTTTTGTTCAGGTAGAGTGGGAGGGAGAGAGAGGAACAGAGAGAGAGAGAGAAACATCGATGTGAAAGGAACACATCGAGTGGCTGCCACCCGCACAACCGACCAGGGCCGGGGACAAACTGCAACCGAGGTACGTGCCCTTAGCGGGAATCGAACCCGGGTCTCTCAGGACCGCAGGCCGACGCTCTAACCGCTGAGCCAAACCGGCCAGGGCCCATTAACTGTTTTTAAGAGTACAATTCCATGACATTAAACACATTCACATTGTTGTGCAACCATTCATTACCCTTCCACTTCCACAATATTTTCATCACCCCAAACAAAACCTCTGACCCTATTAAATAGTAATTCCCCATTCTCTTTTCCCCCTGGTAGGTATTATTCTACCTTCTGTTCCTATGGAGTTGACTATTTGAGGTACTTTATGTAAGTGGAATCAGAAGTTTTTTTGTGTCTGGCTCATTTCACTTAGCATAATGTTTTCAAGGTTTATCCATGTTGTAGCATGTCTAATAATTTCAGTCCATTTTACAGCTAGATGAAGTGTTTAATGTGATGATTTGACATATATATACTTCGTGAATTGATTACTACACTCCAGATAATTACACATATATCACCTCACATAATTACCTTTTTTTTGGTGGTGGTGAGATCACTTAAGTACGACCACAGTTTTATTAACTATAGTCACCATGCTGTATTTAAATCCACAGATCTTATTCATCTTATAACTAAAGGCTTGTACCCTTTGACCAGCATCTCCTCATCTCCCCTACCCCCAGTAACCACCATACTCCTTTCTGTTTCTGTGAGTTCAACCTTTTGGTTTTCTTTTTAGATTTTACATATAAGTGAGAGCATACATTGTTTGTCTCTGGCTAATTTCATTTAGCATAATGTCCTGTAGGTTCATCCATGTTATTGTACAAGATTTCCTTCTTCGTCATGGCTAAATAATAGTCATATATATCATCTTTATCCCTTCGTCTGTCAGTGGACATTTAGGTTGTTTCCATGTCTTGACTATTATGAATAATGCTGCAGTGAACATGGGAGTGTAGATATTTCTTCGAGATAGTAATTTCGTTTCCTTCAGATATATTCCCAGAAGTGGAATTACTGGATCATGTAGTTCTATTTTTACTTTTTTGAGGAACCTCCATACCGTTTTCTATAATGGCTGCACCAATTTACATTCCCAGCAACAGGCATTCCCTTTCCTCCCCCTTTTGCTCTTTTTTTTTTTGTATATGCTCCTAGCGGGAACCAAACCTGGGAATCTCTGGTCCGCAGGCCGACGCTCCAACTGCTGAACCAAACCAGCCAGGGCTTGCTCTTAAGATAAAGATTAAAATACAGTGGGACCCTTAAGGAAGGAAATCTGCCCTGGCCAGTTTAGCTCAGCGGTTAGAGTATTGGTTGGCCCTTGGACCAAAGAGTTGTAGGTTTGATTCTAGTCAAGGACACGTACCTCGGTTGCGTTTCGGTCCCCGGCCCTGGTCGGGGGTTGTGCGGGAGGCAGCCATTTGATGTGACACATCAGTGTTTCTCTCTCTCTCTCTCTCTCTCTCCCTCTCTCTCTCTCTCTCCTCCTCCTCCTCCTCCCACTCCCCCCTCCTTCCGTCCACTTTATCTGAAGATAAATTGAAAAATATCCTTGGGTGAAGATTTTAAAAAAAAGGAAGGAAATCCTATATAGTCACATACTATAACAGATGAACCTTAAGGACATTATGCTAAGTGAAACAAACCTGACACAAAAAGATAATGACTGTATAATTCCACTTATGTGAAGTGTCTAAAGTAGTCAAATTCATAGAAACAGAAAGTAGAATGGTAGTTATGGGGAGGCTGGGGGAGGGAGAAAAGGGGAGTTATTATTCATGGGTATAGAGTTTCAGGACTACAAGATGAAAAAGTTTTATTTTACAACAATATAAATATACTTAACAGTACTGAACTATGGGCTTAAATATGGTTAAGATGCTCAATTTTGTTATGTGTTTTTTGCCACAATTAAAAAGAAAATACATATCCTAGCCAGTTTGGCTTAGGGGTTAGAGCATGCCCAAGGACCAAAGGGTCTTGATTTCAATTCCTGGTCAAGGGTATGTACCTGGGTTGTAGGTTTGATCCCTGGCCCGGTCAGGGTCTTAGGGAGGCAACCAGTCAATGTGTCTCTCTCACATTGATGTCTCTCTCTCTCTCTCTCTCTTCTCTCTCTCTCTCTCTCTCTCTCTCTCTCTCTCTCTCCCTCTCTCTCTCTCTCTTCCCCTCCCTCCTTTCTATTCTATTAAAAAAAAAACACAAAAAAAGTCAGTGGGAAAATATCCTCTGGTGAGGATTAACAAAAAAGAAAATATAGTGAGTCCCACATGGCCGTATATAGCCTGGCTCTTGCTTACCTCTCAAGCCTCATTTTCTGTAGTTCTCTTTCCTCCAGCCATATGGCCTTTACTCAGGTCAGTCCTCACAGACATAGTGCTTATTACTGCCACAGGACTTTTGGCCATGCTGTTCCCTCCAGCACTTTGCCAAGGTAATCCCCAACTTAATCTTACATCCTCAGAAAAGCTTTCTCCCAGACCTTGCCGTCTCAGACTCTATCAGATCCTCCTTGTACATTCCCATTATACCATCCATCTCTCCTTCATAGGTGAATTTCACATTTATTCCTGTGATTATTCAATTAATGTCTTTCTCCACCACTATACTTTAACCTTCACAAGATATTTGCATTTTGAGCACTTGTATATATCACCTAACATAGTACATGGCACTCAGAAGCTCAAGGAGGATTTGTTCAATGAGGATAAATATATTATTGTACAGAATATGAATGGAACTATAATGAATTTAAATGACACACCCAAGGTTACATAGCTAATACGTGGCAGAGCCAGGATTTGAATCTATCTGTCTAACTCCAGAGCTTAAAATTTTACCCATTATTCTAGACCCAATGTTGTTTAAACTATCTCTGGTGAAGGGCCTGTTTTTTAGTTTTTAAATTTCCAATCTATCACAGACTGATGCTTTTATAAAATATTTTGATCATGTATTTGGATGTTGTGATTATCAAATTAGTATAAAGGTTTCTAAATCCTTATGCCTACTGTCTATACTTATCACAGATCAGTATTGGTGCATAGGCCACACTTTGAGTAGCGTTAGACCGGCTCCCACGGAACAGAACATATTACATGTCACTTTTTTTTTTTTTTTATTCCTCACCCAAGGACATTTTTGCACTTATCTTCAGATAGAGCAGGAGGGAGAGAGGAAGGAAGAGAGAGAGAAACATCGACATGAGAGAGACACATCAAGTGGTTTCCACCCACACGACCCCAACCAGGGCCAGGGACAAACTGCAACTGAGGTATGTGCCCTTAGCGGGAACCGAACCCGGAACTCTCTAGTCTGAGGGCCAGCGCTCTAACCGCTGAGCCAAACTGGCCAGGGCTACATGTCACTTTTGTAATCCTGTGTATGGAGCAGTGAACTGTACGGTACAATGAGGTCAGGAGGAGGAAGACCAGAGAGAATTCCATGAGGGTGCCAGCCATCGGGAAGAGTTTCATAGAAAAGGTGGAGCTTGAAGGTGAAGGAGAGGAGCACTAAAGAATTCCCAGCAAAGCTAGAATATGACAAGGAGATCCTAGGGGTACTGACCTACTGCTTAGAGCAGGTGGTTTTTACTGAGTAGAGAGAAAACTAAGCACAGTTTTCTTGTGTTCATTTCTGTTATGGTCTTTCCCCCCCCACTTTTCAAGAACGATTTCCATTAAGCCAAGGAGGTCCTGCCCCCATTAAAACAACTTTTGAATGCCCTGGTCAGGTAGCTCAGTTGGTTGGAGCTACATCCCAACACCAAGGTTGCTGCTTGGATCTCCAGTTAGGGCACATATAAGAATCAACCAATAAATGCATAAATAAATGGAACAGCAAATCGATATTTCTCTCTCTCTCTCTCTCGCTCTCTCACCCCCCCTCTCTGTCCCTTCCTTCCTCTCTCTAACAATCAATCAATAAAAACTTTTGAAAACCTAGAAAAAATTAGTATTTTGATCACTGTTTTGTTTGCTATTTCTATATTAGCACCACCTGCTTGTGGTATTGCACTCTATTATTTTCAATAATCAGTTATGTTCAAATATCACCAAATTTTATTTATAATTTAATAAATGTTTATTGAGAGCTTACTAACAGTCTGAATACTGGGTGGAATTTCTATTTGTTGTCTGTCAGATAACAACCCTGTCAACTCCTGTACTCATTTCTCTGTGGGACTTAAAAAGTTCCTTCTTCAGTTCTACCCTTCCTCCCTCCTCCTGCCCCCAAATCATCTGAGTAGCATCTAACTGCTACTCTTTTCACTCAGAGAAAGTTCCTTCTTAGCTCATAAAGTAAGAGAAAGCTGAGTGTTCCAAATGTGCTTTCTTCAGAAATCTTTGTTCAGAAACACAGTCACTTCTGAAAAATGCTCTTTTGAAAATCTGATTTGGGGGTTAAGTATGTTAGATTGGTTTTAAGGATACTTGTAGTTTGAAAAGTTTCCACACAGGACTGTTGCCAAATAGGCCCTCTCTTATGTTTAAATAGGTCTTCTACTTTATTCTCTCCTTTTCTTCTAGTGTTTCACTTTTATAAAAATCTCATTGTCTTGGTTGTATTTTTCAGTCAAGTCCTAATTCGAAGCAGAGTCCTCAGGGAAAATGGAAAATACATTCCCAAACAGGTACTCATTTATCTTTTATTAAAAGTCCCACGATTCACTGTTGAAGGCAGTAGATATCTGAATGTTTTATAAGGGGACTCTTTGGGGAAAACTGAAGGCTGGCAAGTCAGGAATTAAGCTGTGGCCTGGGGTGTTTGCTGTCATTGTGACTTCGCCCTTCTTAGGAAATTGTTTTTAAATGTGACTCAGCTAAAGTGTCATCTCAGCTGCCAAGTAGGCTGCCAGCCCTTAGTGTAACAGCATATTCCAAGGGCCTTCTGACTAAACCTCTGGGGGATAATTTGACAATTTGCTATGTCACAGTTTTAAGATTTAAAAAGCTCTTTTTTTTTACTAGTCTTTCCTGACACGAAAATATTACTTCAACAACCCGGAGGATGGATTTTTCAAAAAAACTAAAAGGAAGGTAGTACCTCCTTCTCCTATGACTGGTATGTTTATTCCCTTCTCTCTCTCTCTCTCTCTTTTTTTTTTTTTTTTGATAATCCTCACTCAAGTATATTTTTTCATTGATTTTTTAGATAGAGTAGAAGGGAGGGAAGAAGGGAGAGAGAGAAAAGCATTGATGTGAGAGAGACACAATGATTGGTTGCCTCCCGCACAGCCCCTATCAGGTTGGGATGGAACCTGCAACCCAGGAACGTGCCCTTGACCAGGAATCAAACACGAGACCCTTTGGTCCATGGCCGATGCTCTAACCACTAAGCCAAACCAGCCGGGCCCCTTCTCTCATCTTTAAGGAATATTTTTAACATGAGTATGGGGGGCGGGGGGTGAAAGGATATTTCACTTTAGTGTTAAATTGTAGAAGATAGTATATCACCTAGTACAGAGATCTACAGAAGTAGAGTTCTTTTTCAAATAAATCTTCTGGGAACCCCAATATGTAAAGTGGATTTTATTTTTTTATTACCCGAGGATATTTTTCTGTTTACCATCAGATAGAGTGGGATGGAGGGAGGGAAAGAGAGAGACAGAGAGAAACATCGTTGTGATAGAGCCACATTGACTGGTTGCCTCCTGCATGACCCGACCAGGTATGAACCGTAACCGAGGTACATGCCCTTGAATGGAATCGAACCTGTGACTCATTGGTCCACGGGCCAACATTCTAACCATTGAGCCAAACCGGCCAGTGTAAAGTGGATTTTAAAAAGAGCTTTCAGCAGTTGGAGTGTCGTCCTGTGAACCAGAGAGTCATGGGTTCGGTTCCCGCTAGGGGCACGTACCAAAAAAAAACAAACAAACAACAAAGCTCTCAGGCCCTGGCCTGGTAGCTCAGTTGGTTAGAATGTAGTCCTAGTATGCTAAGGTTGTGGGTTTGATCCCCTGTCAGGGCACATACAAGAGTCAACCAATGAATGTATAAATAAGTGGAACAACAAATTGATGTGTTTTTTTTTCTCTCTCTCTCTCTTCTCTTCCCCCTCTTCCTCTTTCCCTTCCTTTCTCTCTCAAATCAACTTTTAAAAAATAAATAAAAATAAAAAAAGAGCTCTCGGCTAACATGTCAGAGAAGCTAGAGCCATTGTCTCTGGGTCTCTCCCCTTTGCTGTTCCTCAGATCCCATGGCTCTGTTGAGCACAGTTGGAAAAGCTGGGGCTCCCACCCAGTGCCAGGCTCTGTTGCTGACAGATGGCCACCCATCTTCTGCTTTAATGAGGAAGAACTCTCACTAATTCCCCAGACCAACTATTTCTTTGTCAAACACGACTATAATTTTTACTATAACAGACTTCTTACTTCCACTTATCCCTGTCATGTGAAAAATACAGCATCTTTAAAGTAAAACAAAAATTATTATTCCATGTTGACTGGCCTCTCATTTTAGTATTCATTGTTTTAGATGAGATAACCAGCTATTTTATTTTATTTTTTAAATTTTGTTTTTTTATTGATTTTAGGAAGAGAGGAAGGGAGTGAGGAGAGAGAGAGAAACATCGATGAGAGAGAACATCGATTGGCCGCCTCCGGCATGCTCCCCACTGGGGATTTGGCCCACAACTTGGGCATGTGCCCTTATGGGGAACTGAACCAGTGACCTCTTGGTGCATGGGTCGATGCTCAACCACTGAGCCACACCAGCCGGGCATAACCAGCTATTTTAAATCCAGACAGAAGTTACTAGAACTTATTTTAATAAACCTTTTAGAAAACCTACAAGAAACAAAAGACCAATAATTTATGAAAAGATACTTGATGTACTAAAATTTGTGGAATACAAATTAAAACAAGATGTCCTTTTCAGCCTATTAAATTGGCAAGATTGAAAAGCTTGATCAAAGCTGGTACTGTCAAGGTCATGGGAAGTTAGGCTCTCTCGCTCTTGTTGAAGGACAACGTGACAATATCTGTCCCAATTTTCAATGTTCAAACCTCTTGACCTAGAAAGTCGGTGAGTTTCTCTTACAGAAATATTTTAAAAATATACGCTTATGTACAAGGTAGTTGGCAACATTGTTATTGCCAAAAAAAAAAAAAATTGGAAACAAACTGTAGGTTCACTCAATAGTGATAACTGTGACCACATCATGGATTCCTATGCAGACATTAAAAATAATGAGAGAGCCCTGGCCGGTTTGGCTCAGCGGTTGGAGAGTCGGCCTGCGGTACAGAGAGACCCGGGTTCGGTTCCCGCTAAGGGCACGTACCTCGGTTGCAGTTTGTCCCCGGCCCTGGTTGGTCATGCGGGTGGCAGCCGCTCGATGTGTCCCTTCACGTCGATGTTTCTCTCTCTCTCTCTTCCTCTCTCTCCCTCCCGCTCTCTCTGAACAAAAAATGGAAAAATGTCCTCGGGTGAGGATAAAAACTAAATAAATAAAAATAATGAGAGAGCCCTGGCCGGTTTGGCTCAGCGGTTGGAGCATCGGCCTGCCAACCAGAGTCCCAGGTTCGGTTCCTGCTAGGGGCACGTACCAAAAAATAAAAAATAATGAGAGAGATTTTACAAGTGTGGACATAGCATTCACAATATATTAAATTTTTAAAATTAAGAAACAGAATAGTGCCCTGGCCTGGTGGCTCAGTTGGTTGGAGTGTCATTCTTGTACACCAAAAGGTTGTGGGTTTGATTCTTTGTCAGGGCACATACCTAGGTTGCAGGTTCAGTCCCTGGTCCAGGTGGGTACAGGAAGCAACCAATCAATGTTTCTCTCTCACATAGATGTTTTTCTCTCTCTCTCCCTCCCTTCCTCTCTCTTTAAAATCAGTAAACATATCCTCAGGTAAGGCTAAGAAAAAAAAGGCAGAATAGTAAGCATAGTATCCCTCTCTTGTGTATATATATAGAGAGAAACTACCGTGTGTATATATGTGAATAAAAAGATGGAAGGATATTCAACAGTTAAAAGTGTTTAGAGAGTGGGCTCACAGGAACCATCTACATCCTGTTTGTATGTCATTTGAATTTTTTTTCTTTATTGATGTTAGAGAGAGGGGGGAAGGGAGAAGGAGAGAGAGAGAGAAACATCAATGAGAAAGAACATCGATTGGCTACCTCCTGCATGCCCCCCACTGGGGATTTGGCCCACAACCTGGGCATGTGCCCTGACTAGGAATTGAACCTGCAACCTCTTGGTGCATGGTTGACGCTCAACCACTGAGCTACCTTGGCTGAGCTGTCATTTGAATGTTTTATAATGAACTTGCATTATTTTAGTTATAAAATAAATTTATAATTTACAAAAAATCAAGAGGAAGTCCCTGTCAACAGTGGTAAAATGTAGTGGTCTTTTGTGTTTTTGTCTTAGATCCCACTATGCTCACAGACATGATGAAAGGCAATGTAACAAATGTTCTCCCTATGATTCTTATTGGTGGATGGATCAACATGACATTTTCAGGCTTTGTCACAAGTAAGTTACCACCGAGAAGACTTGAGGTTAATTTCTTCTGTGCTCCTTTTCCTGCTCCCTATTCAGAGAAATCAAAAGTACTAACATCATGGGTCCTGTCTTCTGTAGTGGAAACAGCATCCTTTTAACAACAAAAAATATGCTGTGATTTTATGGCTCTTATTGTAAACTGATTATAAGTTCATAATGTCAGTGCTTTTTTACCAATAGGGATTCAAATGAGTGGCTTGCTAGTTTGTATCTGAAACTAATTTAGTGTTCTAGTTGAGTAGGATAACAGGAAGCCCATTTCTATTTTGACTTTATTTTCTAGGTGTTGGGGTTAGTCATTTGTCTATTTGTTTAGAAGTTGTTTTGATTTGATTAATGTCCTTCTCTGTGAATATATATTCTGCTTTAGGTTTAACAGATTAGTACAAGTTTCTTTTGAAATTTTAGGTCACAGTTCAGTTTGAGTGTCTGTGTCTTTTAAGCAGTGTTCCTGGTGTTCAAGGAAGAGTGACATTTGACGTACTCCTTCAGAAAGTGACAGAAATTTCCTTGTGGAAATCTTTTACCAAACTCTGTGTTGTCCGGAGTACCCAGTTCTTCAGGAAAAGAATATATGCATTCACAGTTAAACTATTCTAAAAATAAAGAAGCCAGGAATGAGTGTGAACTTTTTCTTTCTTTGTAGCCAAGGTCCCATTTCCACTGACCCTCCGTTTTAAGCCTATGCTACAGCAAGGAATCGAACTACTCACATTAGATGCATCCTGGTAAGAACTTTCTTTTCAATCTTGCAAAAAGGAGAGAATGTGTCAGTCTCTTTTCTCTAGGAGTGCAAAAGTAGATGTATTCACCCAAAAAAAGTTAAAAGATAAAGCCAGGCAAATCTTTTAGTGATACCTGGGAATGTATGGCAGTAGATGTTTATATTATTTTCTAAAATACATTGCTGCTAATAATCACATTAATCCTTTTCATTGGTATCAGTCACTGTTCTAGGTGTTTTCCATATATTATCTTATTTTTATCCTCACAGCAACCCTATGAAATTAATGAAGAAATTGAGATTTGATCACAAAGTCTGTCCAAATCCAGCACTCATATCTTATTTACCACTCTATGTTTTTTTTTTTTTTATCCTCACCCGAGGACATTTTTCCATTTTTTGTTCAGATAGAGTGGGAGGGAGAGAGAGGAAGAGAGAGAGAGGGAGAGAAACATTGACGTGAAAGGGACACACATCGAGTGGCTACCGCCCACATGACCCGACCAGGGCCGGGGACAAACTATAACCGAGGTACGTGCCCTTATTGGGAACCGAACCCAGATCTCTCTGGACCACAGGCTGACGCTCTAACCACCGAGCCAAACCAGCCAGGGCTACCACTCTAATTTTTATAGCAGAGAAATAAAACCCCAAATCCGAAAAGCTCTTAGAACACTGCTATAGCATGTGGAACCCAGTAGTGCTTCTTCACATGGCCTCTCCAGACTATTTGTCTATGACTTTCCAGAGACTGGCATTAAAAAGGAAGCCAGACAAGAGGAGGAGGAGAAGAATGGACAATAGGGTAACCAGTGGTAACTTCCCTGAAGTAAGCAAAGTAGTCTCTGGTTGTGTGGGAGGGACAGGACAGACCAGGTTTTAGTAGAGTCTTTTTTTTTTTTTTTTTTTATCCTCACCCGAGGACATTTTTCCATTTTTTGTTCAGGTAGAGTGGGAGGGAGAGAGAGGAACAGAGAGAGAGAGAGAAACATCGATGTGAAAGGGACACATCGAGTGGCTGCCACCCACACGACTGACCAGGGCCGGGGACAAACTGCAACCGAGGTACGTGCCCTTAGCGGGAACCGAACCCGGGTCTTTCAGGACCGTAGGCCGACGCTCTAACCGCTGAGCCAACCCGGCCAGGGCTTAGGAGAGTCTTGACTGTGCACAATTCCACTAGAGGAGAAAAGCTATAGTTATTATGAGTAGCATGACTCTATTAAACCTTGACCTTCCAGCTTCAATTGGGCTAAGCAAAAACTTTATATGCCAGAAAAACATTTTTTATCTTTTCTCAGCATCTGTGACTGATGTGCGTGAGTGGACAAAGGAGACTGGAATGTGGGTATACAATTAGTCTTCTGTTGGATGTAGATTACCAACATTATGTATAGATTGGTCGTTTACTTACCTACAGCCTGGTGGAGTAGCCAGAATAGACCCCTGCTACTGTGTGACCCAAGTATTAGAACGAAGTGTAGATTCTTTCTGTCTCTGTATCATTTCTCATACTCCTTTTAGTTTTTATTATATTTGAGCATATTTATTTTATTAGGGCAAAAGGTGAGATATCTAAGCTAAGGAAAGTATTGGTGATAAAGTTCAAAACTTGAAATGGCTTTCCCAGTAGCTACAGTCTTCAGTATTGCAAGTATTTCCAGAAAGCCACCTCTGATCCTTTCCTGTAAATATGAAATCCACCAACACTTGTGTTTTCCTCTAGAGAATGGGATTCAGGACTTTTTATTTCATGTACTTCTGTATTGTTTACATTCATTATTTATATCAAGTCTGTTGTTTTTATAATTAAAAATAATAAATGGTTTGAAAGCCCATTATATAGAAAGGAAAATTAAGCCAAACTTACGTTCCCTGATTAAATGGAAGCACACCAGTTCTGAGTCCAGTTCCTGCTACTGAAGGCAGAATTTTTTACATAGCTGTAAGTGGCAGTTTGCCTGCAGCAAGCTATAACTATTGGTAAGACTGCCTTCACAACTTGTATTTCTTCTTTGGTTGTGCTTTGAATGGATATAGCTTACCCCAGGTAATTTCTTTACATACTCTGGACAACTTTGGATGTTAGAAAAGTGTGAACTACATTAATTCTGACATAACTATCTACATTGTTTCCCTTTTGCTTTAGGGTGAGTTCCGCATCCTGGTACTTCCTCAATGTCTTTGGGCTTCGGAGCATTTACTCTCTGATTTTGGGCCAAGATAATGGTAAGGAGCATGTCAGGTTTAATAAGCAAATACTCTGATAGATGAATTATCTACGCCAGAGTCAGAAAAATCACGTAGGCTATGCTATTTGTTATCATAGTCAAATACAATGCTTCATTGCTTCATTCTTTAAACATATTCTTAAATTTCTGAGATATTCTGAAACAGTCTTAAAAACTCCAGGTTTAAACTGAAGATCTGAGTTCTGGCAATAACAAGGACAATATATAGCCCCGCACACTCTGATATCCTCAAGTGAAGGATCCAGCACCAGCAATGTAAGCCTATAACCTGAAGCTGAGAGAAGGCCTGGTTTGATCAGTTAGTTCACTGATTAGAGTTCTTGCCATTTCCTTTCTTGGCTGTTTCACTTAATGGCTGTGATCTCAGGCAAGTTACTTAACCACTCTAATCCTGTGTTGTAAAATATGGACCTTAATAATTAAATTCAGTGTTTGTTGTTAGGAATGGATGAGGTGGAATATTTAAAACACTTAGTGAAGTACTTGGCATATAGCAGTTGTTCAATAACTGGTGGCTATTGTTATTATTTAATTTTGAAATAAAGTTTAGCGCTTCCTTTAGTTATCTTTCTTCTGCTACTATCATCCTCATTCTTCAGGAGAGGTAAAGTGACTTTTCCAGGGTCACATAGCCAGTACAAGGTAGGGCCAGTCAGTGAATCTGTCATATGGCTCTCTAACCCACTACCAAGTATCTGTAATTTTTGTGTAAGGACCATTCTTCCCGAGCATACTGGGTGCTGCTGAGCCCTGGCACTCATGTAGATGTATCTTACTCTGCAGCCGCTGACCAATCACGGATGATGCAGGAACAGATGACTGGAGCAGCCATGGCCATGCCCGCAGACACCAACAAAGCTTTCAAGGTACTCACTTCTTCTAGCTTCATGGAAACTTCTTCAAAAGGCATTACTAGAGAGTTACTTTAAAGATGGGTTCCCTGCCCTGGCCGGTTTGGCTCAGCGGTTAGAGCATTGGCCTGCAGACCAGAGAGTCCCAGGTTCAGTTCCAATTAGGGGCATGTGCCTTGGTTGTGGTTTGTCCCCCGGCTCTGGTTGGGGTTGTGTGGGTGGCAGCCACTCGATGTGTCTATCTTGCGTCGATGTTTCTCTCTCTCTTTCTTCCTCCCTCTCTCCCTCCTGCTCTATCTGAGGATAAATGCAAAAATGTCCTCTGTTGAGGATAAAAAATAAATAAAATAAAATAAAGATGGGTTCCCTGAAGCGAGTGTAGTATGTATTGTTTCAACATTTACATTTAAATTTAGCAGAAATGTATTTTAGTTTACATGCCTCTTTTTTCTGAAGGAATCATCTGTTAAGTGAATTGGAGATTCTTGGTACTTTTACTGTTTTTTTTTATCCTCACCCGAGGACATTTTTGCATTTATCTTCAGGTAGAGCAAGAGGGAGAGAGGCAGGAAGAGAGAGAGAGAAACATCAATGTGAGAGAGACACATTGACTGGTTGCCACCTACACATCCCCAACTGGGGCCGGGGACAAACTGCAACCAAGGTACACTCCCTTAGAGGGAACTGAACCCGGGTCTCTCTGGTCTGTGGGCCGACGCTCTAACCACTGAGAAAAACTGGCCAGGGCTTTTACTGGGTTTTAAATGTTCACCAAATTCAATCTACACATGAAGCTGTAAAAACAGTTCAATGAGAGGCACCAGGTAAATATTTTGAATATTGTTTAACTTTTGGACCCTGTAGACATCAGATATAAATTTTAAAAAATCAGTACATAGAGCCTTTTCATGAAATTATTTTGTAATTTATAAAATCCAGCATCGTTTTTCTATAGCAAAATCTCACTAATTTTTCATCATAAGAACTAGGAATAGAAGGGAATTTGCTCATCTTGCTGAAGGGCATCGATGAAAAAACCCACAACTGATAATACTCATACCGAAAGCTTTTCCTCTAAGATCAGGAACAAGACAAGAATGTCCACTCTTGCCACTACTATTCAACATTGTACTGGAGGTTCTAGCCAGGAAAATTAGTCAAGAAAAAGGAATAAAAGGCAATCAGATTAGAAAGGAAGAAATAAAGCTATCTTTGTTTGTAGATGACATGGTCTTATATATGAAATATCCTAAGGAATCCTCTCTCCCCACCCCATTCCCAAAAAACCTAGTAGAGCTAATAAACAAGTTCAGCAAGGTTTTAGGATACAAGGCCAATATATGAAAGTCAGTTGTATTTCTACATACTGATGATAAAGAATCTGACACTAAAATTAAGAAAACTGTTCCATTTACAATAGTATCAAAAAGAATAAAACACTACGGAGTAAATTTAACAAAAAAAATGCAAGGCTTGACATCATTAAAATGTCCATATTATCCAAAGCAATCTATAGATTCAATACAATGCCCATCAAAATACCAACAACATGTTTCACAGAACTAGAACAAATACTTCAAAAGTTCATATGGAACCAAAAAAGACCCCGAATAGCTACAGCAGTCTTGAAAAAGAAGGACAGAGTAGGTGGGATCACAATACCGGATATCAGGTTATACTACAAAGCTACTGTAATCAAAACAGCCTGGTACTGGCACAAGAACAGGCATATAGACCAGTGGAACAGAACAGAGAACCCAGAAATGGACCCAAGACAATATGCTCAATTAATATTTGACAAAGGAGGCAAGAGCATACAAAGGAGTAAAGACAGCCTCTTTAATAAATGGTGTTGGGAAAATTGGACAGCTACATGCAAAAAAATTAAACTAGACCATCAACTTATACCATACACAAGAATAAACTCAAAATGGATAAAAGACTTAAATGTGCCCCGTGAATCCATAAAAATTCTAAAAGAAAATGTAGGCAACAAAATTTCGGACATCATACGCAGCAGAATTTTCACTGATCACCTAAGGCAACAGAAACAAAGGAAAAAATGAACACATGGGACTATATCAAACTAAAAAGCTTCTGCACAACAAAAGAAACAACCATCAAAATGGAAAGGCAACCCACTGCCCTGGCAGGTGTGGCTAAGTTGGTTGAATGCTGTCCCCTGCACCAAGAGGTCGCTGGTTTGATTCCTGGTCAGGCCACATGCCCAGGTTGTGGGCCAAATCCCCGGTGGGGGACATGCAAGAGGCGGCCAATCGATGTTCTCTGCCATCAATGTTTCTATCTTTTGCTCCTTTCCGCTCTCTCTCAAATCAATAAAGAGAAATTATTTTTAAAAAAAGAAAAGAAAGGCAACCCACTGTATGAGAGAGCATCATTGCCAATGATAATCAGATAAGGGGTTAATTTCCAAAATATATAGAGTACTCATACAACTCAACAAAAGGAAGACAAAGAACCCAATTAAAAAATGGGCAGAGGAGCTAAATAGACACCTCTCCAAACAGGACATACAAATGGCCAAGAGACATATGAAGAAATGCTCAACATCACTAATCATCAGAGAGATGCAAATTAAAACAACAACGAGGTATCACCTCACACCTGTCAGAATGGCTGCCATCAACAAATCATCAAACAAGTGTTGGAGAGGGTGTCGAGAAAAGGGGACTCTAATACCCTGCTGGTGGGAATGCAGACTGGTGCAGCCACTGTGGAAAACAATATGGTGTTACCTCAAAAAATTAAAAATTGAATTGCCATTTGATCCAGTGATCCCACTTCTAGGAATATACTCTAAGAAGCCTGAAACACCAATCAGAAAAAATATATGTACCCCCATGTTTGTAGCAGCACTATTTACAATTGCTAAGATCTGGAAACAGCCCAAGTGTCCATCAGTAGACGAATGGATAAAAAAGCAGTGGTACATATACACAAAGGAGTACTATGCAGCTGTAAGAAAGAAAGATCTCTTATCCTTTGAGACGACATGGAGGGACCTGGAAAGTATTATCCTAAGCAAAACAAGCCAAGCAGAAAAAGACAAATACCACATGATCTCACTTATTTGTGGAATATAATGAACATAACAGTCTGAGGAATAGAGTAGACCCAGAGACATGGAAGTAGGGTACAGACTGACAACCCTCAGAAGAGGGGTTGGTGGGAGGAGGGAAGAGATAAACCACAGAACTTATATGCATTTACGCATAACCAATGGACATGGACAACAAAGCTGGGGACAGGGTAGGGGGGATTGGGAGGAGGGCATCAGTGGGGAAATAAAGGAGAAACTTCTGTAACAAAAATAAATTTATAATAAAAAAAAAGAAATGCAAGGTTTGGAGACTTGGGAGGTGTCTGTGGTGCTAGAGTAAACACCCCTCCTGCCTTCACGTCATTCTTGTTGTTCAAAGGTGAGATAAGATTACCATTAACATGGACACGAAGGTACCTAATACCTGTTTGTTCACCATCAACAAAGAAGAGCATACACCAGGAAACATTATTCAGTTACAGCTGTTGAAGGACCCATAGGTGCTGTTTGCTGGCTACAAATGCCCCCACCCCTTAGACTACAAGATCATCATCTGTGTGCAGACCACACCAGACTTCAGCCCCCAGGAGGCCTTCACCAATGCCATCACAGACCTCATTACCAAGCTCTCCCTGCTGGCTGAGCGATTCTGGGTGGACATCAAAGACAAGCAAGTAAGAATTAAATTGTGGACTACAAACTGTCTTACTTGGCCAGTTCCTACCCTGCACCAGGCCCTTCTCCAGGCACCAAATGAAAGAAAGCAGCTTCTCCCAGCCATAGGCCTCCTTGGAGATATCCCAGAGAGCCCCTCACCCCAACACTAATGTGTCCTCTACATAGATTCTGTTTCATTTTCCTAATAAAGTGTGACAAAAAAAGAAATACAAGATTTGTATACTGAAAATTACAAAAAATTGCTGAGGAAATTAAAGAACACCTGAGTAAATGGAAAGACATTCCATGTTCATAGATTAGAAGACTTAATATTGTCAAGATGGCAATACTCCCAAAATTGATCCACAGATTCAATGTAATCTTTATCAGAATTACACCTACCTTTCTTTCAAAGACTGACAGGCTGATCCTGAAGTTCATATGGAAATGGCAAGGGACTTAGAATAGCTCAAACAATGTTAAGTAAGAACAAAGTTGGAGTACTCAGACTTCTTGGTTTTAAAACCTACTTCAGAGCTACAGTAATCAAACTAGTGTGGGACTAGCATAAGGATAGACATACAGAGCACTGGAAGAGAATAGAAAGTTCAGAAATAAGCCCATATCAATTCACTTTTTTTGTTGTTAATCCTCACCCAAGGATATTTTTTCCATTTCTTTTTTAGAGAGAGTGGAAGGGAGGGAGGAAGAGAGAGAGAGAAAGAGAAACATCAATATGAGAGAAACATCAACTACATTGATTAGTTGCCTCCTGGATGTGCCCCAGCTAGGCTGGGAATCAAACCTGCAACCCAGGTACATGCCCTTTACCAGAAATCAAACCTGTGACCCTTTCGTCTGAGGGCCGACACTCTAACCACTGAGTCACACTGGCCAGGGCTCATATCAGTTCACTTTTTACAAAGGTGCCAAAACAATTCATTGGAAGAAAACAATAGTCTTAATCACTTAATAGGTACAGAGTTTGGGTTTAAGGGAATTAAACATTGTAGAAATATGGCCCTGGCTGGTTAGCTCAGTTGGTTAGAGTATCCTCCCAATACATGCCAAGGCTGCAGGTTTGTTTCCTGGTCAGGGCACACACAAGAATCAACCAATGAATGTATAAATAAGTGGGACAACAGATCAGTGTCTCTCTGTCTCTCTCTGTCTCTCTGTCTCTCTCTCTCTCTTCTTCCCCTCCTTCCTTCCCTCTCAGTCTCTCTCTTCCCCCACTGCTCTCTCTCTCTCAAATCAGTCAATAAAAAACAATATCCCATTAATTTAGAAAAGAAAAAAACATAAATAAATAGCCCTGGCCGGTTTGGCTTAGCAGTTAGAACATCGGCCTGCGGTCCTGAGAGACCCAGGTTCGGTTCCCACTAAGGGCATGTACCTCGGTTGCAGTTTGTCCTCGGCCCTGGTTGGTCATGTGGGTGGCAGCCACTCGATGTGTTCCTTTCACATTGATGTTTCTCTCTCTCTCTCTGTTCCTCTCTCTTCCTCCCACTCTACCTGAACAAAGAATGAAAAAATGTCCTCAGGTGAGGATAAAAAAAAACAAAAAACATAAATATTATATAAATTGATAGTGATGATTATACAACATTGTGAATATAATTAATGCCACTGGCTAAAAGTGGCAAATTTTTACATATATATATTTTACCACAATAAAAAGTTTTAAATGTGTCAAAGACCTAAATATAAGAGCTAAATGATGAAACTCTTAGAAGAAAATATTGGTGTGAATTGGTTTGTGACCTTAGATTAGGCACTAACTTCTTATATATTACATGAAAAGTATAAGCAACAAAAGGAAAAATAGATAAATAAGACTTTGTCAAAATGAAAAATTTTGTACTTCAAAAGATACCATCAAGAAAGTGAAGAGACGTGTGGTGATCACCAGGGTTGGGGTGGAAGGTGGAGAATCTAGGGGGGATAAATGGTGCTAGAAGGCGACTTTACTGGGGTGGTGAACACATAATACAGTGTACAGATGGTGTGTTGTAGAATTGTGCACCTGAAACCTGTAGAATTTTGTTAACCAGTGTCACCCCAATAAATTCAATAAAATAAATAAATAATAAAGTGAAAACACACACTATAGAATCAGAAAAAAATTGTTTGCAAAAAATGTATCTGATAAAGATCTAGTATTCAAAATAAAAAACTCTTAGAACTCAGCAATAAAAGGATAACCCAATAAGCTTACAAAGATGCTCAACATCATTAGGGACATGCAAATCAGAACCACGATGGCATACCGCCTCATACCCACTCAGATAGTAATAATTTAAAAGATGGGAAATAGCAAGTGTTGACAAGGATGTGGAGAAATTGGAATACTCATGTATGGTGGTAATGGTGGAGCCACTTTGGAAAGCAGTGTTTAGCCTTTCTCCAAAAAGCTAAAAATATTGACCTAGCAATCGATGCTTAGGTAAATACCCAGAAAAATTGAAAACGTATGTCCACACAAAAAATTATACAAAAATGTACAGCCTGGCTGGTGTGGCTCAGTGATTGAGCATCATCCCATGGACTGAGAGGTCGGGGTTTGATTCCTGGTCAGGGCACATGCCCAGGTTGCAGGCTTGATCCCCAGTTGGGGGCGTGCAGGAGACAGCCAATCAGTGTTTCTCTCTCACATCGATGTTTCTCTCTTCCTCTCGCTCTAAAAAATCAATAAAAACATTTATTTAAAAAAGAATAAAGTTCCACTTCTTTAAAAAAAAAAAAAAAAAAGTGGGCCCTGGCCGGTTTGGCTTAGTGGTTAGAGCATCGGCCTGCGGACCAGAGAGTCCCGGGTTCACTTCCCATTAAGGGCACGTACCTCAGTTGTGGTTTGTCCCTGGCCCCGGTTGGGGTTGTACAGGTGGCAACCAGTCGATGTGAAATGTTTCTCTCTCTTTCTCCTCTCCCTCCCGCTCTATCTGAAGATAAATGCAAAAGTGTCCTCGGGTGAGGATAAAAATAAATAAAACAAAACAAAACAAAATAAAAAATATAAAATAAAATAAAAAATTTAAAATATTTTTAAAAAGTGGAACAACAAATTGATGTCTTTCTCTCTCCCTTCTCTCTAAAAAAAATCTAAATAAATTTTAAAAAAGAATGTTCAGAGGACTATTCATAATAGTCAAAAAGTATAAACAGTCCTAATGTCCATCATCTGATGAACAGAAAAGCAAAATGGAGCATTTTGGTAATATGTGTATAATATCTGAACAATGGAATGTATACAATGGAATATTATTCAGTCATAAAAAGGGATCAGTACTGGATCATGCTACAACAGAGAGGAACTTTGAAACCATGCTAAGTGAAAGAAACCAGTAACAAAAGGCCATGTATTATGTCCAGAATAGATGAATCCAAAGATATAGAAAGTAAAGTAGTTGCCGGGGTTAGAGGAGAGGGATAAAGAAGAGTGTCTGCTATCTGATATGAGTTTCTTTTTCTGGTGCTGAAAGTATTCTGGAACTAGATAGTGGTGATAGCTGCATATCTTTGCAAATAAGCTAAAATACACTAAATTGCATATATTAAAAGGGTGAATTTTATGCCATGTGAATTAGTTTTGTTTTTTTCAAAGAACACACCCATAAACTAACATTTGTGTTGCATGTTAAATTTCATAAAGCGTATTTTTCAAGCCCACTAATTAAAGGCAAAGTATTCAGCATTAATAGATTATTTGAGAAATGTAATTAGCTCCAGTGACCTTGAACAAATATTTTACCTTTCTTAGCTATAGTCTCCTTGTCTGTAAACTGGGGATGGGGGTGGATGGCAGCACCTACTTTATAGGAGTGAATGAGCTTATACATGCAAATAGCTTAACCCAGCTCCTGGCCCAGAGTAGGTGCTCACAAAGGTCAGCACTGCTCTTAGTAACAGCCCTTCTGCCCCTCTCTCCCCGTCCTGGTGTTCTCTTCCTTTGCAGACAGAGTGGGAAGCCTTAGAGCTGACAGATCACCAGTGGGCCCTAGATGATGTCGAAGAGGAACTCATGGCCAAAGATCTCCACTTCGAAGGCATGTTCAAAAAGGAATTACAGACCTCTATTTTTTGAAGACCAAGCAGGAATTAGCTGTGTCAGGAACTCAGAGTACGCTTAACCTTGTAACTTTCGTTTGAGCAGGAGCCTCTCAGAATAAAAAGGAGGATGCATGAGCTGGCGGATGTGCAGCAAGGATCATTCTTGTCTGAGCCGGTTCCCCTTTATGTTTGAAACTAGAGGAAATACAAGGAGTGTGTGCTGGGTGACTTACCCAGAAACAGCTATTTTAAAAATGTTTTTAATTTTCCATCTGGTGACTCTAGTAATGAAAGTCAGAGAAAGGGGGAAAATTCAAGCTAGTGATAATTTATAAAACTTAGCAAAAATACAGTCCTTGGAAAAGGCATTGTCAATTATACCTAATTATGTGTAGTCAGCCTGACTTCTAACCACAGTAAACTCCTATTTTCTTGGGATCCAAATACCCTGCATTTTACCTTTAATTTTTTGTTAGTATTTTTATAACTTTCTTTACATAAATAATACATTTTCATTACTGAAAATTTAAGAACTATGGATGAAGCTCCCTGTGTTGTTCATTTTGAGCCTACAGAATGACATAAAGAGCAAATGTGTCAAAACCTTATTCAGATAAACTTTTTTCAGACTGAATGCCCAGGGCCAGGACAGACTTAGCAAACCTTCACTATCTCATAATACTTACTGTCCAGCGAAAATCAGTGACCGTGAGACACTGCCGGATTCTCAAGTGCCTTTGGGATCATTAAAGACAGGTTACATAATGTGAGGTCTTGATCTGGAGTTCAGAATATATCAAATCCATTGACAAATCAATGGTGCTATACTGTATATGGCTTCTCAGTTGAATGAAAGACCACATTTTTCAGTTATTCTGCATAAGAGAGAGTTTATATATCACTGTAAGAAGGAAGAGAGAGCAATTGCTGGTAGACACATAGTTGAGGGTTGCCCAGGAATAATTCTGTCTGGATTAACTCCCAGGAAAGTGGCAGGGTACCATTTCTGTACCACAAGGTGAATGTAATTTGCATGTTGAACGCTGTAATCAAGAACAAACAATTCTTGACTTTACAAATTAAACCATCCTGTTTTCTCTTCTTTGCCTGTAAAAATGTTGCCTCTGTGTATCATTAACAGCCTTTGACAACAGTTAGGAGTGTCTATGGTGGAACAGTGCTGAAGCGTCTAAGGTGAAAAAGTGTGATCCTTGTCCTCAATGAACTCATAAGAGACACACATAAGAAATGGGTGGTTCTTAATCTTTGGGTCACAGAACCTCTTTGAGAATCTGATGGAAGCTCTGACCCTCATGGGCACAGATAGACTTCTCAGGTAACCCCAGGGATATTGATAGACCCTCCAAAGCCTATTCATAGTGACCCAGGGACCCAAGGTAAGAAATATAGATATTTAAAATAGCTGCTTAAACAAAATATTAAAGGACCAAGGGTTCATAGGAGAGCTAACCTTTGACCAGGGCCTTGAAATAGTTCAGTGCAGAAGAGCATTCCCGGGGGGCAGAACAGAACCAGCAAAGGCCCACAGATTAAAATGTCCACAGTTCATTGCACCCTGGGGAGGTGGGGAGTGGTGTGGTATATACAGAAAGATCAGGGTTGGGGTAGAATGCAGTAAGTGATGATATCACCCTGGTTCCCACAGGGCATCCTCGGAGCATTTCAGTATGCCTCCCCACCACCAGCACCAGTTTGTCTTTTTCCCTGTAGCAAAGTTGGGTGGGTAAAATGTGAGACTTTTCTGACCCATCATGTTGATGAATGCCCATGCCCTTGGCACCAGCAAGTCAAAAGGAAAAGCCAAGTTTGTTTTAGCAGGCTCCTCCCAGAACCAGCACACAAGTCCAAGGAGTGATACTCATCATATGTATTTCTTGGAGTTCAATTTGCGCCAAACTATTAAATGAGTGTTTTATTATTTCTATCAACCTGGACTTACCACCTGAAACCATTGAAGACAATCTGAAATGTCAAGTTACTGATCACGGTATGGAAGGAACGTTGCATGAAAGGCTAAATATTGACAGCCAACTGCACAACACAACTCAGAAAAATGACAGATTTGAGGACAGTAGGTAAATCTGTGCTTAGGAGCCAGTAGTATGGGTTCTCTGTCCTGTAAGGAGTGTTTTGGACATGTGTATGTGAAAGGCATGGAGGATCACTGATTATGTGAGGAACCTTGCAGATGCAAGTGAAAGAAACTGAACTCAACCGGCTTAAGCAATTTTTAAAAAATAGAATGTAAATTAGCTCAACTAAAATGTCCAGTGGTCTGTTGGCTACAGGTACAACTGGATCCAGAGCTTCACATGTTATCGGGGCTTAGTTTCTTTCTCAAGTCTGTTTTTTTCCACTATTCTTAGGCAGTCTGTCTTCTCATGGAGACACCAGCTTAGTAACCACAGTAAAGAGAAAGCATTCTTGCCCTGGCCGGTTTGGCTCAGCGGTTAGAGCATTGGCCGGCGGTCCAGAGAGACCCGGGTTCGGTTCCCACTAGGGGCATGTACCTCAGTTGCAGTTTGTCCCCGGCCCTGGTTGGTTGTGAGGGTGGCAGCCACTTGATGTGTCCCTTTCACATCTATGTTTCTCTCTCTCTCTCTTCCTCTCTCTCCCTCCCACTCTACCTGAACAAAAAGTGAAAAAATGTCCTCAGGTAAGGATTAAAAAAAAGAGAGAGAGAAAGCACTCTTTCCTAAAAATTTTCAGTAAAAGGATAATTTACCTGGTCTGGGTCAAGTACAAATTCCAGCAACTGGTTAGCACCTAAACTACAAGGATTTAAGGTGGGATAGTGGTGATTTCCTAAAGGGCAATGGGTGCAGTTGCCAGAAGAAAATGGCATGGATAGCAGGCAATAAAAAACAATAGTGTTGCCCTGGCTGGTTTGGCTCAGCGGTTAGAGCATCGGCCTGTGGTCCGGAGAGACCCGGGTTCAGTTCCCGCTAAGGGCATGTACCTCGGTTGCAGTTTGTCCCCGGCCCTGGTTGGTTGTGCGGGTGGCGACCATTCAATGTGTCCCTTTCACGTCGGTGTTTCTCTCTCTCTCTGTTCCTCTCTCTCCCTCCCACTCTACCTGAACAAAAAAATGGAAAAATGTCCTCGGGTGAGGATGATCAAAAAAACAATAGTGTTTTACCCTTGAATCACTCAAACTGTCTGGAATGTTTCCCAAAAGAGGAATTACCCCTGTCTAATGACCATCCAACCAGCATGGGTGGTCAGGGAAGGCTTTCTAGCAGAAGTGTCAACTAAAGATGTGAAGGATCATAAGGAAATATACACAGGGATGTACATAAGGAAAGGTGATACAAGCAGAGGCGTGTGCAAAGTCCCCAAAGCAAAGGTGGTGGGTGTTTTCACAAAACTGAAATAAGACCTGTGTGACCCTGAAATGTAGAAAATAAAAATATGTGATGAGAATTGGGTGTATACTTTAAATGGATGAATAGTTGGTATGTTAATTATATCCCTCAGTAACGTTGCTCTAAAAAAGAAAGAAAAAGAGAGAAAGAAGAAAGGAAAGAAAAAGAAAGAGAGACAGAGAGAGAAAGGGAAAGAAAGAAAAGAGAAAGAAAGAAAGAAAGAAAGAAAGAAAGAAAGAAAGAAAGAAAGAAAGAAAGAAAGAAAGAAATGCCATGAGCAGGGCCAGATGGCAGAGAGCTTGTAAATCATCCCTCAGAGGGGAACTTGATCCTGACATGGCAATGGAAGCCATTGGGAAGGACTGGTGTGAAGGGATTTGCTACTGGGTGGGGAAAGGGATGAGGGGTAAAGAGGGCATGGAAAGTGTAAGGGTGACAGTGAGATGGATGGTAGTGAGATCAGACGAGAGGGCAGTGGAGTTGAGACCATATAGAGGATTAATTAGCTCCTGCTCTCTAACTTATGCAGCTTTGCATAAGACACTTCCCCTCTCTTCTGTCTGTGAAGAGGAGATCATATGTTCAGCCACTCTGTTTTTTTAATTTTTAAATGTTTTTATTGATTTTTAGAGAGAGAGGGGAAGGGAAAGGGAGAGATAGATCAATATATAGATAGAAATATCAATGAGAGAGAAACATTGATCGGTTGCCTCCTGCCAGTCCCCTACCGGGGATAGAGCCCAAAACCTGGGCATGTGCCCTGACCAGGAATCAAACCAGTGACATCTCAGTGCATGGGACAGTGTTCAATCCACTGAGCCACACTGGCCGGGCTGTTGCAGCCACTTTGGAAAACAGTCTGGCAGTTCTTTAAAAAAGTAAACATAATGTTTCCTTATGATCCAGCAATTCCACTCCTAGATAAATATATACCAATGAGAAATGAAAACATATGTCCACACAAAAACTTATACACAAATGTTCACTGAGCATTATTCATAACAGCCAAGTAGATACAAACCAAATGTCTATAATAAATAAAACATGGTACCTCCATACAATGCAATATTATTTAGCAATAAAGAATGAGGTGCTGACTTAACCTATGATGTAGATGAACCTAGAAACACACTAAATGAAAACCAATCACAAAAGATGATATATATTATCTTATTTATTTATTTATTTATTTATTTATTTATTTATTTATTTTTAATCCTCACCTGAGGATACTTTTTGCATTCATAGTGCAAGAAGGAGAGAGGGAGGAAGAGAGAGAGAAACATTGATGTGACAGAGACACACAGACTGGCTGCCATGCACACAACTCCATCCAGGGCCGGGGACAAACTGCAACCGAGGTAAGTGCCCTTAGCAGGAACTGAACCCAGGTCTCTCTGGACCACGGGCTGACACTCTAACCACTGAGCCAAATCGGCCAGGGCTAATATCCTATTTTTTAAAATAAAATGTCCAGAATAGGCAAATCTGTGGAGATAGAGACAGCAGATTAGTGGTTTCCAGGGCTTGGAGGGAGGAGAATGGGGAGTGATTGTTCATGGGTACAGGTTTCTTTTGGGGGCAATAAAAATGTTCTAAAATTGAATGTGGTGATAGTTGCACAACTTTGTGAATATCCTGAAAACTGAGTAGTACACCTTAAGTAAGTGAATTTTATGTATGTGAATTATATCTCATTAAAGCTGTTAAGGGTGGACCCTGGCCGGTTTGGCTCAGCAGTTAGAGCTCCAGCCTACTGACAGAAAGGTCACAGGCTGGGTTTGATTCCTGGTCAAGAGCATGTACCTGGGTTGCAGGTTCGATCCTCAGCCTGGGTTGGGGTCATGCAGGAGGCAACCAATCAATTGATATGTCTCTTTCACATTGGTGCTTCTCTCTCTTTCTCTCTCTCTCTCTCTCTCTCTCTCTCTCTCTCTCTCTCTCTCCCCCTCCCTCCCTCCCTCCTTTCCACTCTATCTATAAACCAATGGAAAAATGGGTGAGGATTAACAAAAACAAAAACAGCTGTTAAGAGTGGGGAGGGATCATAAACTCTCCGCAGTTGACATCAAGATCTCTCATAATTACCCTGGCCAGTGTGGCTCAGTTGGTTAGAGTGTTGTCCTATACAGTCAGTCGTCCCTCGCCACTTTGCACTTCGACTTTCGCAGTTTCACTCTATAGCGGGTTTTTTTCAAATATATTCATTAAAAAGTTGATCAAGACAGCAAAAATGCCCTGGCCAGTTTGGCTCAGCGGTTAGAGCGTCGGCCTGTGGTCCGGAGAGACCCGGGTTCGATTCCCGCTAAGGGCACGTACTTCGGTTGCAGTTTGTCCCCGGCCCTGGTTGGTCGTGCGGGTGGCAGCCACTCGATGTGTCCCTTCACGTCGATGTTTCTCACTCTCTCTCCCTTCCTCTCTCACCCTCCCACTCTGTCTGTACAAAAAATGGAAAAAATATCCTCGGGTGAGGATTAAAAAAAAAAAAAAGACAGCAAAAATGATACAGCGCATGCTCGGTTGTCTGAGTCAATTATACACCTCTGTATTACAATTAAAATTAAAATTACTGTACGCATGGACTGTAGGCCTATGTATTCAAGCACCCCCGCAAACCCTTCAATGCCAGGTGCAACAGTTTGACCACTCCTTGTGTATGGGCAATAATTTTTTCCAAAAAATTGGGTGTGGCGAAGCCAAGCCAATCAGAGCGTGC